TGTAAATGTTGATGTCAATTTTAAATACGTAATTTATGAGATTTATAATTTTTTAACTACATATTTAAACATTTTTTTATTGAAATCTACCCAAAAAGGAATATGCCCCCTTTGGTTCTGATTTTTCAAATCAAAAAATTAATTTCTTGACCATTGCGAGCCTGTTTGGGAGTGATTTTGAGAATTGATTTTTTGACCGTTAGGAGAAAAGTGGGGTCCATCTGTGAAAGAAAAGGTCAAATATGACGGCTGAAATAGTGAAATAACGGTCAAAAAATCAATTTTTTGGTTGAAAAAATCGGGCCCAAATAGGCTCTGCTTAATATAGTCGGCCATCATTTTTTACCTCTTCACTCACGGGTGAAACTCACTTTTCAAACTAATAGTCAAAAAATTGGTTCTCATAATTAGTACCAAATAGGCTCTCTATATATATATTAACGTCCTTCATGATTTTGAAATTCTTGTTAATTACCAAAATTCAAAAAAAGAAAATCGAGTATAGAAGAAAATTAAAGAAAACAAAACATGCCAGCATGGTTTGGTGGACCCTACCTGACAACCTATGATATCCCATTACGGACTGTTTTGTCTTCTCCACGCGCTCATGCATGCGAGTGGTCCCGTCCTTTTCATTTCAATAAAATTTGGAATCGTAAAACTCGCCGGCTGAAATGTTGTTGAATATATATAATCCATCTCTATTCTCCCAATTCATATAAATTATAAATATAATTTCTGTCAAATCTCCCGCAAATTATCGTGCTCTAGATCTCTCAGAATTAAATATATAGTACAGTTGTATGTATAGATGTGTTGATGCATGTATACTGATCATTTTGATTTTAGATTCAAATTCTCTATATGTTTCTTCAGCTCTTTAGTGTTGTTTCAATCAGGTACTGGTTCTGTTTTCGTTAATTACGAAGAGAAATGTGTTTATATGTGTGTGCGGGTGCGTGTTTTGGGCGTTGATGAAATGTGAACTTAATTGACGCTTATTTATGTTTCTGAAATAAATGCTGTACATTTATTGATGTGAGCGCGCGCATAGCGGGGGTTTCGGGTGTGCCTATTTATGTATACTGAAGTGAAGTGTAACGTGTATTTCATGCGTCTCTGTGCAGTGCATGTGCGGGGTGCATAGATTGGAACTTTAATCTTTGAAGAGGTTGTCTACTGGTGGAATTGATTCAAACAGGCAGGTTCTGTTTTAACTTTTTATTGGAACTTTTGTATAGTAACTATTTTTACATGAATTTGTTGGGACGGTAGTTTAGCAATTTAATTCTGCCAAGGTTCTGTTGATTGTAATAATCTCTGTTTTAGTTTACTCATTATCTTAATTTGACTATTTTTCTCTTTTAATGATATTTAGGATCTAAAGTTCAGTTCCTGCTTCCTTTTTCCCCGTTTGCTGTCATTGATTTTGATTCTAAAACTAGAATTTTGGTTCAGTAGTTAGCTGCATTTGAATTATACCATGCATTGATAGTTCTGTGTGGAATTTCATTATCACGTGATTTATGCCGGTTTATGAGGTGCATATTGATCGTCTTTTTTAGTATTGTTTAGAGGTGGGAATTTGCATTCCCTCTTCTGAAATTACTGGTTTTACAGGTAATTTCACAATTACAGAGTTCAAACATCCTTGGTTCCTGATTGACTGAATTTTGGATATATTTGTTTTGGTCACTTTTTACCGTGTCTATAGCAGTATGCAAGTGAGCTACAGGAATCGGTTTGTCTCCAAAATTTATTACCATAACATTCAATGTTGTTGGTGGCTACTTCCATTTCTCAGGCTTTCTTGTCCATCAGTATACCACATTTTGGAATTATTTTCAAATTTATTTCAGTCTGAGGATACTACCCAAAGTTGCATCTAACTTGCAGCTAGTATCACGGGTACATATATATGTGACGTGCAGGTTCAGACTCTTGCTGAATCCAGTGATTCAGGTTCTGGTTTATGCTGATAGTTATTAGATAAATAAAGTGAATTTTGGGCTTGAGGCAGGCTTTGGCCTTTTTTGGGGATTAACCTGTGATGCATCATTTCTAGATGAAGGCTACTCAGGCGTGGCGTCTAGTCATGAAAGACGTGCAAATGATGCTTGCGTCTCGCGAGCGTGGTCATTTAAAGAAGCCCACATGGATCATCATATTGGTTTCTTTAGTCAGCATCTTCTTAGTTTTGGCTTATGTTTATCCACGTCAGAATTCTACTGCATGTTATGCACTCTCATCTAATAGTTGTGAAGCTATATCGATTTGGCTTCCACCTTTACCAGCAAGAGAATTAACTGATGATGAGATCGCTTCACGTGTTGTAATTAGAGATATTCTGAAGACGGCTCCTATGATATCAATAAATTCAAAGATTGCATTCCTATTTCTGACACCTGGTGCTTTACCTTTTGAGATGCTCTGGGATAAATTTTTTCAGGTAACCTGTTTTTTACCATTAAAACCTCCGGTATCTTATAGATTTTTTTTTTCTTTAATGTTCTTAATATAGTATGTTGCTTTTATGACCTATAAAAAACAATTTGTAATAGTGTCTTTGAGGAGTTATCTTTAGATATTCAATCAAGTGGAAGCATTATATAATCCTGGTCAGCTTGCAATAGGAGATGTCCTTATGGGGAAATTATGGCAATTCTCTTGTAAGGATATATACATACGATCTACTGATGGAATCAGTAAAATATTCATCTTGTTGATGGACCATGTCTATATATAGTAACATTTAGTGCATGTTCAAAGCATAAATTTTTTTAAAGCTAGTAAACTTTTTATCCACACATTTCACACAACTTAATACCCACTTATTATGAGCAAATTCTATAGGATCCACAACTTAATAACCACTTATTATTCACACATTCCGTAGGACTCAGCTTATAAGCACTTGAAAAGCAATGTCAAGCCAGCACTTAGAGTTAGTTGACTGGCATAGTTGTGTTATGAAGCGCCTTTTAGAACACGTAGGAAGATTGATAGAAAAAGAAGAGAAGCTTTATCTTCCAACGAAGAGAGAGAATCCATTTTTGCAGACTAAATGTCTCGATCGACATTTTAAATACTCCAGGCAGCTTGACATTATCGGAAGTTCTGATAAGACTGAGTTGCAAAATTTGTGCCTGTGCAAGGAACTATATCTACTTGATAGATTGGATGTGGATTGGAGTATTATATTTTGGACATCATGGCTAATGACTCGAGGAATTATGTTATATATAATGTCTAGCTTATGAATTATCTACTTGATATACTGGCATGGAATCATATTATGTTTGGGCATCATAGCATGTGAATAGAGAGATTAAGTTATATAAACTGTCTATCCATGACTATTTCCGCTGGGTCAAATTATGCAAACGCGTGACTTAAATTTTCTGCTTGGAGAACTATGTAATTGATGTACGATCAACAAAGGTAGCACCTTGAATTATGTAATTGGTGCAAAATCGGCAAAGGTAACATATTTTGAGGTGCTTCACAGAAGAGTCATGTGCGCTTTGAGCTTTTGCAAACTGTCTTATACTATAGCTAGTCTATTCTAATCTCTTGATTATACCTAACCTAATACATATTGAAATTATAAGCACGCCTGATAAAAGGCCATGAAATATGGACGCAAGTAACAATTATGACTAATGCATTTGTAAACTTATATACCATATTGACTATTGAGTCCTCATCTTTGAAAACTAGAAGATCGAAAACATTTAACTTTGAATTTGGAGTTCATGGTCTGTCTTTTGATCGGCAATAATCTTATTGCCTTCCTGATGTTTGAAATTAGAAGTGTTCACTGACTTAATGCTCATTTCTGTCTGCGAACATATACTTTCTGTAAGACTAGTAACTCCTACTGTACGTCCGGCCAGGAGAGCATAATTTTCCAGAAGAGGTTATTATTGTTAAAATAGAACTTCTTTTCGCACATTCACCGCATCAGACTTTTCAAGTAGGTTCTGGTAGAATTATGTTTTCCCAATCATGATGGTGTCTCTGACAAAAAGAAACATGAAAGACCCAGACATGCAATTCTTTTTTATTTTTAGAATTTCCAGCCTGAATTCTAATGTACAAATCGACAGTTATATAATTTCTATTGGCCAAATAAGTTATGAGTTGTTTTTATCAAAATACATTGTATCCTTGTGGACGTTGTAGTGTGATATGATGCTCACTGGCCCCCTGTTTCTTGATAAATTTTTTAGTTGTTGGGTATGTTGCTGCTGAATTTAACTGGAGCTTGGCTGGTCTGAGGTTGCTTATGTCAATTAAAATGAAATCGTAAAAATTTTGAAGCTCGTTTAGTTTGATAAGTTGACAAGTGGACACTACGCAGATTTATCTAGCTTGACTTGACCCATTAATGAATTCTGAATTTGATTTTAACCTTGGGTCTTACATGAACTTCACATTCCATTTCAAATATGTCTGAAAATTTATTCAAATCTTTCCCTAATTGCATTTTGAACCGGCTAGTAGTCTTTAGGACGAGAAATTTAGTACCCGTTTTGGATTAGTTTGTGCAGCATTTTAGATAATTCGTCCAAAGAAGCCCACTACTGCATCTCATAGACCCTTAACTTACCTTTCTATGATTGTTTTGATTTGTCTATTGCTTTCAATATTGTAATTATCAAATTATGCTTCGCATATCGATGCTGAGATATATTAATTAAAAAGGTTAAACCCTTTATACCTCCGTACCTCTCCTATTTATACAAGTTGCAGCAGTGCACTCATGGGTTTAAATGCAAGAGGAGAACTTGGTGAAAATATCTTGTTAGATATCATGATCGTTTCTTTGGATCATAACAAAACTATACATGCTCATAGAAGGGTCTGTTATTTCCTTGATTACTAGCTTTTCCTCAAATTGGTTCTTCAAAATTTCAATCTTGGATTCTCCAGTTACCCCTTTGGTGGTTTCAAGTTCTTTGCTGGTAGTCTTGAAAGTTGATTGAAATTTGAAGTTACTTATTTCATTTGAACAAGTGTTGACATCTATATTTTGACTAAACAGCCAGGCATGGATGGACGCAATTGCTATTCTGATGAGCACTATTTGCCCTCTTTTTTCAATGTGAGGATATTACACATATACTTCTTTTTGGAATTTAAGACATCTTCCCCTTTTTGGATAATTTTAAAGGGAATAAATTTCCCCCACCTTTTCAGATGGTCGATCCAGCTGGAATTGCAAATTGGTCAGTAACACATGTTGATTGGTCAGAACGGAAATGGCATCCCAAATCATATCAAGCGCAGGATGTTACCTATGAGCTGATCAGAAATATTACAGTATGGCTTTCCTCTTTCTGAACTTTTATGTCAACTGCGTTGAATTTATCCTTATATTTGCATCAAACGAGTCGTGCTCATCCAATTGCAATATGGTATTGTGGCAATTGCACAGAGCATCAGTTGGAGCTGTATCTAATAATTTTGTGGTGGCTAATGAAACTGAACTTGTGTTTTTGCAGTCTATTACAGATAGTGTGCATGTTACAAGTGATGAAAAGGTTAGTATGTTTTTGGAAAACTATAAATTGTTGAAGTTGCGTGATCTCATTATTCTGAAGTGAATTTATTTCTTTGTTCTCCAGATGGAAATTCAGATTAGACCTTGCTTGTGGAATGGAAACCAACGACCATGTTACTTGTTTGCAAGGAAATTTTTACCCGAAACTATAGATAAACTGATGCTCCTTTACCCCAATTATACATCTTCTAATTAAGTGGGTTGATATCTTCATATTGATTCTTTGGTCGATTCAAGACTTGCATTCGGCCCCATTTTTCTCCATTTTACGCGTAGCTTCTACTGTTCTGGTTACATATGATTGAGAGCTCCCCAAGTTGGCTCGTCATTGAGTGGCACGACCATGAAGGTGATGTTGAACCAAGCTGGAGTGAGTGTTGCCGCCAATGTTGCTTCATGTTTAATTTTCTCCCCCATTTTGTGCAATTTATTGAACATTGACCTAAAGGAGTTACAAATATGGACTTTACAGTAATAGCTTTCATCTTTTTTCCTTCTCTTCCCACTTCTAATTATTCATTACGTTTTGGCTTCCTTATTTTTCTTTATTAAAACAAAATACAGAGTATGATAGAATAGACTGGAGTGAGTGAAAACTGGCTGCTGTAAACGAACCTCCAGTTCTTATATATTCTTTGGTTCTGTGAATTTTGAAAACTAATTCAGTTATAGGGATAATGTATATATTTAAGCAAAAATCAAAATTCTTAGGCTATTTAATAAATAACTATTAGGGACACGTGCATTGCACGTGCTTTTATAACAATATTATGAATTCTTTTAGATGGTTGAAATTTTCAACCCCAAAACCATCATCTATCAATTAAGGAAAAAGATATACTTGATCTTGTGAATAATCAGCTCTTAAAGGACAAGTGAAACTAGTAATAAAACCTTCAAACTTTGACCTAAAAAACCAATAATTAATAACATTCAGGGTCATCATCAAATACGTAAGAGTGTGTCATGGAGGGTAAAATAAAAAATCAAATTACTTAAAAGAGAACAACCACAAGCATGCTCATGTAAGTACATCGTAAACGAATCTATGTATATACAAATATGTTTGGTAAGTAGTATTAGACCTCACAAAATATGCATTATCTTTACTCCACAAGAACCCATCTTTATGAAAATACGGCAGATTTCTTAACGAAATATATCAACTACAATGAGATGAAGAATTTCGAGATATAATTCAAATCAAATAAATAGATAAATTTCAAAACGTATCCCGTGGAAATCTCCGCTTTGAGTACCCGATTACGCATGGAATCTCCACTCCAAACTTATCGAGTTTAACGAATTTTTTGTCATCCCTAATCTCCAAGAGAGCATTTAAATATAAAATGCTCTCTATTCTAAATAATTAAAAGTAAAAAAAAAAAATGTTGGAGTACGTAAAAATTTATACTCTTTAAATTGAAATATGCTCTCAGTTATACACAATATTTATTATTATTATTATTATTTTTAATTTTAAAGATTCTCTTAAAGATGCGTAGCACAAAAGTTTTGCTGGAAGTCTATATAATAGCTCCACAATTCATATTTTGCTTGCTTTAGTGCTATTGTTACAAACACGATCTAAATGGAAGGAAAAAATTCTATGAACTTCAAAAATCCACAACGTCCTGCTTGAATCACAAACAAACAATATTCACACGTATAGTAACAAAATACCAAAGCCTAAATATGATATTATACAAATTGATATTTGTTCATTTTATGAAGATTTAAGTGTAACCCTTAAGATTTCTATATTGCAAAATCCCTTTGTACAATGCTTGCCAATTGAGGGGCGGCGCATCTATATTTTCACCACCGTTTCGGTTGCTGGCTTTATGCAGATGCTTCTTCGGACGTGACTTTTGATCTTTTGATGATACCTCTACCACATCATCAGCAAATCTCACCTTCATAGATTCTTGATCTTTCACGGATCCTGAAAATCATGACACCCATTCAAGAACACGAAATTTTGTTAGTGTTTATTCTTTCATGATGAAAAATAAAACCCAAAAACGAGGAAAAAACACAAAAGAAGACAGATTCACCAATACATATATGAATGTATGTAAAATCTATTTTAGATGTGTCAAAATGTGTCACGGCCATTGTGGCGCTCCCACACATTGAAAGCACACTCAGGCATGGTCGAATTGTGGGGGTAAGCCAGCCTAATTCTACAATCGAGTCATGTGAGGCTCGAGCCACTCGAATATAAAGGCCATGGCCCGGTGCATTGGCCCTTGGAGGCCTATATTTCAAGAAGCATACAGTACTTACATCTTAAAGATACCAAATTGTGCAAGTTCTATTGGGCACGATCAAAGAATAATGCTATTTAGCCCAGTGCTATTATAACCCCCGTCTATGTGGTGATTGGTGAAAGATTAAATGAAATGTGCAATTAAATGACCCATTTAATTTCATATATCATTTAATACCACATTGGCGACGCACATAAACTGAGGTTATACGCTAAATAGCATTATTCACGATTAAAAGCATCTACAATCAAGTTGTGCTAAGCTCTGTTAGGCGCATAGGCCTAATGAAAAAGAGTCGTGCTTTGACGTGACGCCGTAATAACAATTTATGTGTCGACGTCTCAATGTAAATCTCTAATAAGACGTCCCTACAAAATAAATGAATGAAAGAAAGAGGACCTGTTGCATGGCCAATTTCGAATTCCATCTTCTTCATGAAATTAGAAAGAAGGCGCTTATGAACTTGCATGGCTAGAAAAACCACCACGCTGCCTGAAACTGCAAAAGCTGCCATAAAACTGCTTCCCAATGAATTATCCATTTTTCATCTGTTCATTGATTTATGTATCCATCCTAAATGTTTTCTCGATATTTCTAAATGATCATAGGAATTTTGCCTGAAATATTATTTAAAAAAAAATCCATTTTTGAATTGAAAATTTCTTGTAAGGAAAAAAGGGAGGATGCATTTGAATAAAAATAATAAATCTTAGAGGAGGAAAATGTATATATAGATTAGGACAGGGGGAATGACAGAAATGAAAAATATTTTCTTGATGGGCATATGAAAAAAGTCTAGAAGTGACTCGAGGAGAAAAGATTAATTAGCATTACAATCATAAGTTGCAAAGAGTAGGGAATTATATCCTAAGCAAGTGAAAATCATAAGTCATTAAGTTCATGGGAATAGCAGCATCCAAATGACAAGTCTTTCTGTTTAATTACAGGATAAAAATCTGAGAAAAACACTGAGGATAGTGCAAATGTGGGAAAATGAATCCCGTCAAAAATGGAAGGCTAAAGCTTCTCGTACATTCCATATTGTACATGAATTTTGTTCATGTTTATATGTAAATTTTGTGAGGGCCTGTATTGTGATTATGAATTTCGTAGTTAAATTTTGTTCATGTTTATATGTAAATTTTGTGAGTGCCTGTATTGTGATTATGAATGAATTAATTTAAATGGATATTTATAATCATATATTCGAGTGGAGGGTTGAAAAAATTAATTATATCCTAATTTATTGATAATAATATTGACAAGTAATTTTATACTTATATATTTTCTTACTTAGAGCCCGTGTTTTTGTCCAAAATGCATTTTAGAATAGTATTTTGATAGAAAATGTGTAGTTAAAAAATAAAAATAAAAAATTGAATTTGCGTGTAATATTGTTTTATTGAAGAATGTGTGATTGAAAATAAGAGAAAAAATATATTTTGAAAAGAATGGGGATCTACATCTTGCTTGGTAAAGTTGATGCCCTTCAACTAGGATGCCTCCCTCCTATACTTGGTTCAATACTATCACAATTATATATAAATGCATTTGTGATTATAGTTATATAAAGCATTTTAAATATTTATTTGCCTTAGGGGAAACATAAAGAGAAAAAATTCATGAAAAAAATTATATAAAATATTAAAAACTTATTAGAAAATATTAAAACTAGTAATAAGATAGATACAACTATATAAAATATTAAAAACTTATTAGAAAATATTAAAACTAGTAATAAGATAGATACAACTATATAAAATATTAAAAACTTATTAGAAAATATTAAAACTAGTAATAAGATAGATACAACTATATAAAATATTAAAAACTTATTAGAAAATATTAAAACTAGTAATAAGATAGATACAACTATATAAAATATTAAAAACTTATTAGCCCAAAAAAAGGACTATATTATTTTCGACCCAACAATAATCTGTCAATTGAACTGATGACCTGCTGACCCATTACTTTGAGTGGATCAAATGATTGAATCGAGTTTGATAACTATGGTCACAAGTTTCTTGATTTCAGCACGACATTTGGTACGTCTTAATTCATGAAATTTCCATGTGCAAGAAGTAAAATGTCAGTCAAAGTATTCCTCAAATGCAAATATTCAAATAATAGGATGTTTATGTGCAAGGCTTCTCATATATCATTTTGGAAAATGTTTATTACGCGATGCTAGATTATGAACAACATTTTAAACTTTTTTTCTTATTAATTTTAATTAGCCCTTGTGACCCAACTCATTTAATACACCATGACGTCTACAAATTGTGTAAATATGCATATAATTGTAAACAAGAAGAAAAACGCCCAGTGTACAGAGGAAGAAAAATACTCGAAGGTTTATAGGTTCTCAAATAGGGTGGGGCCCATGTGAATATTTTATTACAAAAAGTAAACCACCCATCCCACCTATGTGTCTTATCTGTAAAATATAGTATTCCCCTGTACCTGTAACTTATTTCAAACAAGAATCTAGGAGCAAAATGTGCATGCATGCAGTTGATCACATATATGGGGACAGAGAAAGAAGAAAACTACAGTTCCAGTGACACCGTGTACATCAGGAATGTTAAATAATTCGGCATCATTTTCCAGAGTCGCCACAAGCAAGAGTATTATTAGGCAACTTACCCTCATCCTTGAACATTTTAAGCAGACAAGCAAGTGCCTGCCCTTTGCCAGCACCTTGTGGCAGGATATCCAAGTCCATTCCTTCACTGTAGATTATTTTGACATCCAACTGATAATCACAGAGCAAAAGGTCTAAGTGCTGCTTGCAAAGTAAAATCAAGATGAAAGCTATGCATTCATCTCCACTAACCATTATGCAACTAGGTTTTATGCAAATATATCGCTGTTGATATTGTCATACTTGTAGTACAGCAAGAAAGTTTCATCATACCCCACGTTCTTCCAAACGTGCAGAAAGAGCTCTCATTATGCCCTGTGTCTTGTCTTTCTTAATGTAGAAGCTTTCTTTGTGTGGTCGTTGCTCTGTATCTGACTGCATGGCTCCAAACAGTCAACATAATACAGATAGTTCCCATGCAAAAGTATTTTTATCTTGATGCACAGAAAAGTACTTTCAAGATCATCTTAAAGTGGTGATGCAGGAAATTTGATGTACTGAACATCTGTCTACAAGTTTTAATGTCTTGAAAAGGTGTAAACCATACGTATGTATCAACAACCAGACGCTACTTTCTATAACTATACCTGAAGAGTAAGTTCAGAAAATTTTATAGTCTCCTCTGAAACTGCATTCCTGTCCCATTTCTGATTTAAGAATTCAACCCAACCATCATCTGGTACCATATAGTTACCGTATGTTATCTCAGTTCCCATAGACATTATTGTGATATCTGGGGTTAACATGTGCTTCTCATTCCTTAACTCCTTGTACAGTGTAGGTGACCTTCAGTGGAAAACACTAACAAGGAATTATTACGATAATTGGACTCCCACAAAGCATTAAACATGAGAAGAGAGAGGTTCTCGGGATCGTGATGGTCAACCTACAACAAAGACTCTCATATTAGTCCAATCCAACAAAGACTCTTTTAATAAGGCTTGCAACACCAGCAAGCCAATTCATGGTTGTCTTAAGGCTAGCTTCACTCTGCAATTAAAAGAGTCGCCGTCTAAGCAAAAAGTTAAGATGACCAAAGAATCCAATGCTCGAACTTCCACTAATTGAACTACCCAACCCTCCTAGTCAAGTGTTATCAAACAGAAACTACATTAGTTTGATTTTTAAGCAGATGGGAACAAGTCTTTTTTACAGTGATTTATGCTATTGCACATGATATCAAGAAGAATGACAACTCAATAGGTTATGTAACCAAGTAAATAGAAGGCATAAGGATATGAACAACTTTGCTGTTCCACAGCAAAATACAGATTAATGCATTGTATATCTCGTATAGATACAATTTTCAAATGAGAAATTAGCATAAAATATTGAACATCAAAGATTTAAGAATAATAATTGTATGTGATAAGGTCCAATAAAAACAAATAACAGAGTCTTAACACCTGTCAGCTCAATAATTAGAGCTACCAGATTTAATACTAGATTACTGGTTAACCACAAAACAAAGCATCAAGGAAATATGTTCTTTGCTTGGGGCTATAACAAAAGATCAATTGGCAAATGGACTAATACAATGGCTGGATGGTAATCCAGGATCTAACTGATATTAATATCAATTAATTTTATAGGCTTTCCTCTCCTCCATCAAATTATTTTCAAAGTATCCCTTAACATCATCCTTGCTCCAAAACAAAATTCAGACGAAACGGAAAATAATTTCTCAAACAAGTTGTGATCGAGGCAGAGTTGTTGCTGAAGATCTACTTTCTTCTCTTCCTTTTAATAGTTTGAAATTCCAGCGGGACTGGAAGCGTAGCCACCAAAACTTGATTCTCACGCCTGAACTTGCAACCCAAGTATTCATAATGGGGTCTTAGTGCAACAGGTGTCATTCTAAGATCCTCAGCTATATCAGATGGGTCCGATTTGAATTCGTCTACAAACATAGTGAGCACCAACACATAACTTATGAGCAGCTTCTTTTTCTCATCTGGAATTCTTGAATCATTTGAAGTAGCAAACAGTGAAGAAAATTTCTGGGAAAAGATACTTGGGAATTTATGGTGCTTTGCAGATAAAACGCCATCCATGGAATGTTTATCCTTGAACTTGATGAGATGAGTGATATATGAAAATATGCCAGCCAATTTCCTCTTTTTTGCATCATCCTACAAGGTGGAAAGGAAAGAAATAAAGGAAATAGCATTAAAGCAGAACTAGTTATTCAACCAGGTTACCTCATCCATGAAATTTGCAAAAAAGAATTTATAAAAAAGTAGAAATAGCAAGGAGATTGTCAAACTTGCAAGGTATAGTGTATTTGAAAAATATCAAATAATCAGAAGCTTAAATCGAACTATAAATCAGTACCTCAATATCTTCTAGTTTATGAACTCTGTTGCGGACAAATCTCGGGTAGATGCTCGGTGCCACTTCTCCCCCAGTGCACGAAATCTCAAAAATGTCAAGAAGGTAATCCCACTCCCCTTTTAAAATAATCTTGTCCAGTGGATATGCCATATCTGGTGAAGTGGCGAACAAATTATAGGGTGGGATATTGAGAGAATTATCTGTAGAAGTAGCAGCTTGAAGTGCCTCTTTGATTGTCTCGACTTCTTGTAATTTCAAGTCCAAATCCTGATGAACTCCTGGATCTCCTGTTTGACGCAAAGCATCACGTTTCACATCCTGCAATTTATATAACAAGAAATAATACAAACATTATTCCCATTTCCCACTGCACAATCAAGAAAATATGATATGCCGAGAGCCTCAGATTGCACTTTTGAAGTTCGAGGGAGAGAGAGAGAGTGTGTGTGTGTGTGTGTGTGTGTGTGTGTATTTGTGTTTGTGTTTGTGTTTGTGTTTATAGTAGATCTGTGGCAGGCATTCACGTTTTAAGCTGATACTGGGGATGGGGGTATCTATTAGGCTGAATATCATGCAGTTAGCTCATTATTGCGGGATTCTCAAACGCGGAAAAGGATCCAATGGATTCAAAAGAATTGAACAAGGATCCATATGATTGAAACAGCACAGATACTTTCATTTAATGTGTACGGAACCTTTTACCAGCCACAAAAATAACAGTTAATAGATATAAATTAACATAAATTTTAACCAAAATCAGAAATTGTGCATATCAGCAGCACATTTTATGAACTAAATAGCAACAAGTAAAGAGAGTGGCTGCACCTGTCTAATGTTCTTCTTCGTTGAATACATAAGGGTCAATTTTTTTAATTCATTAGCCTTTTTCTCCGTAGCATCTTCCTCATTAGCTTCATCCAGGATTTCTTTTTCAGTTTGGTCTGCTGCTCCAATTTTCGGAGCCAATCTAAATATCTGTAGTCATAACAAACCATAACGTCTTGATTCAATTCACAAAAACAGCCTCTTCCCAAAAAGAAAACAAATTAGAAAGAATGCACTGTAAATAAAATTAAACAGAATCCCTTATATCATCTTCAATAACATTCTTAAAAACTAGGAATTCCTGTAATTTCAGTATTACAAACAGAACCAAAATCATAAACATTTTTAATCGCGAAAAGTTATCCCTTGCCTAAAATTAAAGAGAGGCCCCCTTTGTCTTTGTCGAATAAATAAATCTATTAAATTTTACCTTATTCGACTCAATAGGAACAATTCTCAACGTCTGGGTATCTTTATCCAGTACACCAAGGGCATACTTGCACAGCTGTGGTGCTGTGGCTTCACCGGAATAATTAGTCCCAACAAAATCCACCTGGGATCCATGGGGGCTCACCACCATTTGCAGCCGATTACTCTTCTTCACATTCCTATAAACCTTGACACTTGCCTCTGGTTCGCTGTGGTTCTTCAACGGGTCATAACCGGAAGGGAAGTAGCCGATTATTGGGGAGATTTTATCTTTCTTTTCAGCAACAGTCTCGACTTTCACATTAATTTGCTCCCTTTTCTTTTTCTTCATTTTCTTTCTCGATTTTGTAGCAGGGTTCTGGTCTTCTTCTTCTTCTTCTTCTTCGAGCTGTACCTTTTCTTCTTTTAGTGATAATTTTTTCTTCTCTTTCGATTTTGCCATAAAGTAAGGTGAATTACAGGCGAGGCGACGTCGATAAATGTTCCAAAATTTCCGGTGGAGCAGGCGGGGAGACCAATGAGCTGAGCTTTAACCGGTATTTGCAGAAACTGTGATGAGCTAGGGCGGCGTTGATGGTCGACCACTGGATCGTTTATTAATGTTTATTTAAATAATATTAAAAATTCTTCAATGCATATATAAACGTTGAACTCCCATTTTGAAGGTCTTCACCGTCCCGACTCTAAATCTTTGTGAGGGAGGTAAATCGCAGGATGTGTCCCAACAGATCAAGAAATAAGACCTGTCTGTACACTGCGCATACAAGGAGTCCAATTTCATATTTCAGGAATCGAATCCCCACACTGCGACTGCCAGCAAGATGTGAGATAATCTCACTACTATCCTTTGCACCACTGAACTATGCCCCGAGGGCTCTTCAATGCATATATGAATACGTTACCCGTTTGGCCTCCATTAATTTTCATTTCATTATATTTTATTTATCTCTCTCTTATTTTCAATCATATAATTTTTCATAAAATAATATTACATATAAATCAAAAATTTTCCTTCTTAAAAAACACTATTCCACCTATTAATTTTTCCATAAAATGGGAGCAAAACGGGAATGTGTCCTTAATTGAAATTATGATGAATTTTAAAAATCGTTCTAAATTTTTATATTTTCAATTGGGATTTTAATGAATTCATTAAAATTTAGATATCCTCAATTGAGGTTTTAATAAAATTTAATGAAATTCTTTAAAATTTAGGTATAATCAATAACTAGTGAATTAATAAAAAGTTTATTAATAGAAGGATTTTAAAACATTTTGATGGATTTGAAGCTTAAAAATACATATTACCAAATCTTTTGAAATTTCACCATATTTAATAAGATTTCTATGGAAGTTGTAAGAATATATTCAAATCTACGAAATTCATTAGAATTTATAATCTTTTAAAATCCATTAAAATTTTAGTTGAGAACACCCTCGTAAAATTGTTATGGAAAGAGAAGAAAATATAGAGAAGTAAATAGACTTGTGTGTATTATTAAAAAGTAATACCCTATATTTATATGGTCCATAATAAGAGTTACAATTGAAATGCAATAGACCTTATAAACTAGATAAAACTTATCAATATACCATGATAATACTAAATAATCATCAATAATTATCTTATTATTTTTTAACACCTCCTCCCCCCCCCCTTTGATAATTATTTGACAATAACTATCTCATTGAAACCATATTTGACAAAAAAACTCGATGAGACAAAAATGCCAACAAATGAAAAAAGTACAAATAATTTGGAGTAATAAAATGTTGCCTCATTAAAACCTTGTCAAGAAAATTCAATGGAACAAAACTTGATCGAAGGAAAAAGAGTACAGGTACTCCCTGATTTCAATTCTTGTATCAAGCTATCCATATCTCGTATATCAATGTCTTCAATATTACGATTTCTAGTGAAGTATGTCTCATATTGTCATGCATAGTTTTTAAATAATACCGTTTTCATACGAGATATTTATCATCATTTAATAACTGTAGTAACATGATGATTCGAAAATAACTCTTGTTGATCTCTTCGAGGCTTCTTGAGTGTAAATGCCTTGTAGATTAAAGATATTATTATACAAAGAATATACATGACTATAACCTTATTAGGAAAAACCTTTTGAAAAAATCCTAATGAAGGAAAATAAGTACATTATTCTTTTAAATACGTTATAAAAATTGCCTCATTAAAAGTTTTGTCAGGAAAACCCAATGTGACAAAATCTTGGTCAAGGGAAAAAGAGTACAACACGTATTTACTTTCTCTTATGATAATATCACTTCAATTATACTTCAGGTAAATTGAATCCGTCAAGAATAGTATTAAATTTATATGTAAAATAAGTTGACTATAATAACATTTATTATATGCATATTAAATTTCATGCTTTGTCACTCTAACGAGTTAGAAACCTGTAATTATATCCACCATATGTTAACTTATCTATTATACATGTCTTCGTGACATTTATTATATAAAGAATCGTACGTTTCATATTACGACTTTACTTTTCGTATTTTCATTTCGCATAAGCATACACCTTTTGATATTCGAACTGTAGATCCAGAAACTTGAGATTTCTCTAGTAAAATTTAATTTAGTATGATCGTGTCTTTTCATTTGACCAATCATTACTTCGATTGATGACAAATTTATTTTTATAGCCTCGATATTTATAATATAATGCAGTACATCGCCAAATTTTCTTTTCAATTCTATTTATTTTCCCATGATAACATCACTTATTGAGATGCTTCAACTTTTAACATATCAGGTACCTGAACCTTTTCTGAGATTTTATAATTTTTTATGTTTGAATACTCATCAACAGTATATGTCACCTTAATTAGGACCATCTTTGCTAATTGTTCCATCTTTGTTCAATGATTTTTGTATTGGAATCGAATACCATCACACTTCAAGCAATCACAAATATATCAAATGTAATGCTATCAAATTATCCTCCTATGACATCAATTAGTGTTGGAGCATTTAAAATTAGTGCGAGTGATGTTGTTTATCTCATTGATCAGTAAATACATCAAAATAAATTATCTTTTGAACTTCTGGTTCATACAATATTTTGCGAGAATTTAGATAATACAACATTTATGCATTATTTTCAACTTCTTAATTCCCCCCCCCCCCACCCCAAATCCTGAGAGAATTATTTGATAAAATTGAAAATTAGCAAATTGTGTTATCAAATATCACACATTTAATATAAAGGTTAAAATTGCACATTTATTCTTAGCATTCTTTACTTTCCATTTCAGTGCATTGTAGTTGTTCAATTTTATATATACTGCACTATTAAAATAATCAAATGAAAAAATTAGGCTATGACCATAAGCCAATTATTACGGAAGAACTATGATATTGGCATGATGCGTAATAGAATTTCCTATATAAAAATGGGAAATACTTTATTCTCAATAAAATTAATTGAAAGCGTTTAACAAACAATATTGTTAAACCATTTATCGACATCCCAACTAATAATTATTAAAATGTTGAGATTTGTGCTCACTAGCATTAACAAGACACGGTCTTGATTGTATAATCTGAAAATTATACTCGTAATTTAAATTTTGAACAGTAGTTTCGCAAACTTCATATTACGAACACTGTGCAATCATCTAATATTTTTAGAATTGAATTGAAGAATCTTCTGATTTTTCATTGAATATCCAATTGAATTTTTAATTTCGTGTCATTATTGATCCAGTGATGATCCAACAGGTTATGCCAATCAAATTAAACTTCTAGTTCAATATAAGATATAATTCAGTTGATTAATTTCGAAAAATATGATTAAATATTATATAATTATATAATAATCAATGTCCACATGATATAAGTCGTATGTTTTCCTTTAAAGATAAACACAGATTCATACATTACACATGATTTATTCTTCAAGACATGTGCCATTTCAAGAGCACGTTGTATTTTCTTTAAGAGCAATATCAATATTCTTCTGAAATATTGGAATCTTATTGTTATGCTCTCCAGAGCAATAACATGTTATCATTTGAAATAATAAATTGTATAAGAATTTACTCTTCATGAGTAAAAACATAATTTACGTTAAATTGTATTTAATTATTCTCTTTGAAAGCAAGTAAAATTCGAGTAAAATATCTGTCAATAATAATGTGTTACTTCATGAGCAATAATACTCCTTTTAAAATATTAACAATGTTGTGCAACATCGAAGTACCAATAAATTATTGTTTAAAAACATTAACTCTTAATGAGTATGTTTTTTAGACAAATTTTAATATTTGCAGAGTTGTGCTTTTTTGGTATCACTTCTTCAACAGTAATAAATCAAACATTATATTTTACTATTACTTCTTCAACAACAAAATATCAGTACTTTATTTGAAATATTAAAAATTATGATTCATGCTTTTCATGAACAATATGTCAATATTCTTCTAGAATATTGAAAGTTACAATTCATGCTTTTTGGGAGTAAATATTATTATTCTAGAATAATAATAATATTGTGCTATTTCAGGAGTAATAACAAATTATTATTTAAAAATACGATCTCTTTAGGAATATATTTTCTAATAGAATGTAAATATTTGCAAAATAGTGCTTCTTCAAAAGCAATTATATTTGTTTAGAGTATTAACAGTATTGTGCTACTTCAAAAGCACCAAAAAATTATTTGTAATAGAGGGACATCAGGGTACTAAATTTATAAACTATAATATGTATTTAAAAAAAATATGAATGTGATAATTAATCAAATATAAACAAGAAACAAACAATTAAATACATCATGCGCAATTTTTTGATGAAAAAATAATCAGCATATATATTTTTTTATTATTATGGAACTAAAATTATGGAATCAATTACCTGTTGCACAAATATCAATTTTTTTATTTGCCTATTGTATTGAACCTAGCTAAAAGATTTCGTGACGATTAAATGGGATATATTTCAACATCCCATGCTCCAGATACTTTTCTTTTATTTCTGGAAAATTCTTCTATAAATGGGATAACCTGCAAGCAAAAGTCTAGCCACGAAACCTAAATACATTATATGCACGTGGCAGTCAATTCACCAACTTTCAATGTCTCCCTTTTTTTCACAAATTTCAAGATCCATGTATATATATACTAGAGAGAAAAAAGAGATTTGATCAAGAATCAGAGAAAAGAATTCATTTGATGGGGGCAAGCTTCATGTAATGAGATCATTGTGTTAATAACGTGTTATGAAAAGAGAAGAAAATATAGAAAAGTAAATAGACTTGTGTGTATTATTAAGAACTAATATCCTATATTTATAGGGTTCATAATAAGAGTTAAAATTAGAATATAATAGACATTCTAGACTAGATAAGCTTTATCGATGTACCATAATAAACTAAATAATCATTAATAATTATCTCATTATTTTACAACAAAAATTTAAAAATCATGTACATATAAAAATATGGATAATTCTACGTGTACACCATGAAGTGTACACAATAGATTACATCCCGTCACATGGAGAGGGTTCCACAAATATTTTATTATATGTGGGCACCCCTCCATGCGAGGAAGGTGTAA